AAGCAAGCAGAGGTGCAGCATGCGGGAGCGGGGCAGTGCGGTGAGACTGCGTGCCCACCCAGGAACTTGCACGATCAAGGTCTAAACAAGTGGCTTTCCTGGATTTTATGTTTCAGTTCATACTCTTGCCGTAGAGCTTCTCTGGGGACACTGGAGAAGGAAGAAGGGGTTGTGAAGGGAGTTAACTGAAAGTATTTCCCAAAGTGCATTGGGTAAATTCAGTTTCCCAAAGGAAACAACACAGAAATGTGGGTAAAATTACTCAGAAATAAATCAGCCTTAGTTTGGTACAGCTGGCATGACATTCAGGTCCCACCTTTGATTCATCCTCTGGTTATACCTCTCAGTAAGCTGCAGCTATTTGCTTTTTTTTTTTTTTTTTGCTATTTGCTTTGGACAAGCTGTTACACGACAGCGCTGCTCTGTGCCAGCTCCGGGGGAAACTGTGTGGAAGTGGACTCTCCGCCTGAGTTTATCATCTGTGGCACCGTCTTTGCATTTTAGGGGAGCTGGGCCCCTTCGATAGGAACAGCTGTGTTACAGAATCATCGTCCTGAAGGGATCTGTCAGTCCTGTGTTTATAGAGTAATCACGGTCCAAGGATGGCAGGCAGGCGTCGATGCACAGGGGATTTTCCTGCTTGCCGTTGCAAGATATAAAGTAGCCGTGGCTGCAGGGTTCAGGCTCAGGCGGCACAGAGGATGCCAGCTGCCGGAGGAAGCCAGAGCCACCCAGCGCAGAGAGAGTGCCCAGCTCGCCACCAGTGTTGGCAGCCTCAGGGAACCAGGACTTCACTTGCAGCTGAGCAAAGCAGCTGAACGCATGGCTGCTGCTAAAGCGTTTGAAATTTTGCTACAGCGACCCTATGAGTACATCTGCTGCCACACATTTGTCTGTTAATTAGTGTCTTGCTTAGTGAGTGGCTGCTCTGCAGTGGAAATGGCCTTTTCAAGATCTTGGAAGACTTAAAAACTGTGTTTCTGATGCTAGGCAGGGGCGATGGAGCAGGGCGAGCAATTTCCTTGGCCCATACTTGCCCCGGTACCCAGGTGGTTGTCTCTCATGTTGGCAGCATCCCGGGATCTTAGCAGAACCTGGCAGTTAATTTGCAATAAAACTTGAATTTGGGGCCACACCAGTCTCCAGCTCCTTCTGCTGGCAGGGATGGGGTGGGAGTGAGGGCCCTGGATGCAGCATCTGCATCAGGAGAAGAGTCCCAGGGTCCCAAAACCGGGGTGACATCTGGCCCTGGCCAGCCAGGGTTGTTGCAGCTTAACTGCACTGGTGCACAGGCAGCTGCGGTCGGTGCCCTATTTAACCACCCAGGGTTTCTCCTCTCCGTTAACTCCAGATCGCATTGCTGTAGCCCCCAAAAAAAAAATCGTGTAGAAGGTTGCGCCATGGGGCAGAAAGTCCAGGGTTATCGTGCAGGGTCTGGAGGCTGCCAAGTGCCGTGTTTGGGAACAGCCTGTCCTCCAGCCTGGTCCTGCCTCGTCCTGGGTGGCTGTTTTGTTGCTCGTGGCCTCAGGGGCAGGAGATGTCCCTCAGGGCTGTAACTTGGTGTTGCTTTGATAAGGAGGGATGGCTGCAGATCAGGGTCGCGTCAGGAAACCAGAGAGCCTGAAATCCCGTGTGTTAAAGGGTGGATTAAACTCACGGTCATTAGATTAATGGGATTAAGTCTGTGAGTCAAGAGGCCATTTTGCACAAGCTCAGCACTGCCAGGAGCACCCACTGGCCCAGCTCAGGCAGCATGAGTAGCGGCTAAGGAGCCCCTTGCTACCTGGAGTAACTGCAGAGCGATGCTTGCAACCCTGCTCTGCACCCAGCCATAGCAATGGGGATTTCGGTGCCTGCATAGGTGCTGTGCAGTTCAGTAGGGGTGAGCTCCAGCTCCTCATGTGGGGGGACTGGGATCTGCAGGGAGCTGCTGGGCAGGGACTGGCATCTTCCACCCTGCTCAGGACTGCCCAAACCCAGCTCCCCTTTGGCTTGTGTCTGGGGAGTGCTTCACCAGGAGCATGGAGCTTGCATGGAGCAGTTGGGCTCTGGGCTGACAGCTCGTGTGGCTGGGGATGGCAAATGTAAAGATTGGAGATAAAGACTGCCTTGAAGAAACCTCGCGGGAATGGGGCTGTGCTGCAGGGATGATGTGCTCCGGAGCATCCCTGGTGTTGGAGGGCAGGCAACCAGGCAGCTCTGCAGGTCCTTCATGCAAAATACATGCCTGTTGCTCCTTGTGTGCTTTGGGAGGAGGCTGAGCAGGGAGGGAGAGCCTGGAGGGGCTTCAGTGGCTGGCTGGAAGCAGTCAGCACCCTGTGCTCCTGCATGGACCCCCATGGTAGTGCATTCCCCCCGTGCCAGTGCATGACCCCTCTGCTGGTGCCTGCCCCCCATGTTGCTACGTGCAGCCCGTGCCTGCGTGTGCATCCCCATGCTGGTGCATGCCCCTCTGTGCTGGAGTGGAGGGCTGTCCACCTGTATTGGGGGCGTGGGAAAACTGCAGCCTCTGTGATGCAGAACTGTGGGTCCCTGCTCTATTTCCAGACTTCACGACTGCGTCTCAGTGTATTTTTGGTTTGCAGCACCAGGCCCAGCTCCAGC